CAAAATTATATTCAAAATTAAAATTAAATTGTGAGTCCAACTAAGAAGCCACAATGTAATGTTCATATGTACAAATCTGTGATTGATTCAGAGTACTCACATAGTATTTGATTATGTTAATATATGCAAAAATATCAACTAAAAAAAAGTATTCATGACAGTAAAGAATGGCTAAGAATAAAACATAACAAAAATATTGGAATGGAAATATATGACTACCACTTCTAACAGTTTGGGGATAGGATATTGCACAAAGTTCTAGTATGTGGTAGATGTGGACAGTGTCCATGATGCTTACTGGTAGTCAGGTGTCACTTGTGGGACTGAGCCACTGCTATTTCCTTGATATCCACCCTGTAGACCTGCACAGAATCATGACCCATAGGGTGCAGGAGAAGTCCATTTGTAGAGTATGCTGATGGAAATATTTTGCTGCTGTATACAAAAGGTTAATTGAGAGACTGCTAGTGTATACCTCTTTTTTTTCCTGCGTTTAATTATTTTCCCTATTTGGTGAGTTCTTTCTGTTCTCATTCATGGAGTTGTGGTAATTTTGATCCATCTCTGGAATATCTTTTAGTAGTCTGTATAGAGTTGACTTTGTCTTCATGAAATTCTTTAGTTGTTCTTTATCATGGAAATATTTCACTTCTCCATTAAACTTGAAAGAGAGTTTTGTAGGGTATAGCAGTCTGGGCTAGAATTTGTTTTCTTGAAAGACTTAAAGTACTTTGCTCCATGCTTTTCTTGACTTGATGGCTTGTGAAGAGAAATCTGCCATTATTCTGATGAGCTTTCCTATAAATGTGATCTGTTTCTTGTCTCTAGTGGCTCTTAGAATACTGTTCCTGTTCTGAATTTCTAGGATCTTGATTATTATCTGTCTGGTTGTGGTTTTAATTGGGTTGATGTTATTTGGAGTTCTATATGCTTAAGTTACCTGAATGTCAGATTGTTTCCTCATATTTGGAAAGTTTTCTGCTATTACTTCTGCCCATATATCTTTTATATAATTTCTATTGACTCTTTCTTTCTCATTGATGCTTAGTAGTCTTATGTTGTTCATCTTTGCATCGTCTTGTAGATTTTGAATTATATTTTTCCTGCATCTTAGTTGCTTTTAAGAGATCTTTTCTTACCTTTTCACTAGTTGCAATGGTGTTTTCAAGGTCTAAAAGTCTATTTTCACTTTCAATCAAACGGTTTTGCCAGCTTGTGATTGAGATTTTAATTTCCTGTGTATCTTTTTGAATCTGCTTCATATGTTCTATTTCTTTCTCTATGCTCTTTCAAAGATTCCATTATTTTTCTGTTCTGCTCTATTTTTTATCGGTGTCTTCTTTAAAAGCACTTAGTACTTCTTTCACTACAGTTACTATTTTTTTTTTACTTCAGAAATTATTTCTCATCTGATTTCCTATATACCTTTCTTCAGTTGTTTCTTTACTTCAGATGCTATTATTTCAGGCTTGTTATTTCCAATTTCTTCTATACTATTTTCTCTGGCATTTGTTTTGGTTGGCTTGGGGCCTGAGAATGCAGTTTGTTCCTTCTGTTTGTCATTTTGCATAGCACTGTCTTCTGACCTTTGGTGTAGAGGTTTAGTAGAGTTATTACCTTAGCACCAGGTCCATATCTAACAAGCTCAAACTCATCCAGGTGGGTATAGCTTGGGACTGGCTGCTGTACTCCACTTCTTTGTCCTGCAGCCCTTGGAAGTGAACCCACTGTGCCACTCTGGCAAGACATTCTACTCCTGGATTAGCCGGGTAGATCTTGCCTCTAGCCTCTCTGTGGGGAGTTATTCTTCAGGATTCCACACCAGGCCATTCTGATGGAGGAAATTCCACATACATGCCTGGCCTGAGTGCTGGCTGGAATGAGGATCTGGCAGACCAACAAGCGGTCCCACTTACATGCCAGGTCTGGGCACTGGCTGTAGGGAGGTTTCCATGAGTAGCATCCTTATTGTAATTTATTCTTCTTGAGATAATTTATTCTTATTCAGATGAGCAAGTATCTATTATTTTTCATTTTATCCAATTGAATTTTTCCAAAAGTATCTATGTAAACATCTCTGAGAACTACTAGCCTCTGGCATTTTTTTGTGCAACAAATAAATTATTAAATTACAAGTTAAAAGATAGAACTAAGAACAAAACTATTGAAAATACTCTTCTAACTCAAAATTTTGGGAACATGTGACTGTGTTTGTATGTGTATATATGTGCAAATGTGTGTGCATCTTTAAAGTGATAAAATTATTTACATTACTATATCATACTAAATTCTGATAGTAGCAGCCTTTGCAATATGTGTTTTAGGCCTCATATGCTAAAGCCTTATGTCTTAAATCCTCACCATAAACCAAGGCTTCAGAGCAGAAAAAAATAATGTGGAGAGAGGCTAAGAAACAGAAAGAAGGTGATGTAGTCAGTATTAAGCAACAGTGTTAAATAAGCATTACATACCCATAGATAAACTCAGAGAAGCTGTTCTATTAAGCAAAGGCATCCCTTTCTGCTCACACTGCCCAGCTGCAGCAGATCTGCTCTGAAACAGAAGCCATATAAGACTCAGCATCTGCTGGAGACAGACGTGCCCAGAGATACTCCTCTAGACAGAAGAACAACCACATTCAATACAGTGCACTAGTTCTAGGCTAGGGCTAGTTTGTGAACAGCCTGCTAGAAAAGCATCTGCTCCATTTGGGGAGGTGGATTCCAGACAGTAGTGGTACTGACTCAAAAACCATGCTGAAGATACAGAAGCCAGCCAGCTAATGAGAAAAAAAAAAAAAAAAAAAAAAAAACAGCCTGATTGGTCAGCATAATAAATAACATGAAACAAAGTACTAAAAAGGGGCAGGATCTTTTGTTTTTATTGAGTGCTGTTCTGTATCACTAGAGGGGAAACAGTCATCAGAGAGGGATGCAAAGTGTGTTAAGGCATCTAGGTTTTTCACTTCAGCACATGGGTGGTGATTTTCTGGGGTAAGATGCACAGGAAAAACATGGAAGCAGATAATTATCTGCATTTGGAATATATTGATATACAAATGTGTTGGGGATATAGTGGAAATGTTCATTTGACAGTTGGGTACACTGTGAATTTGTGCCACAGCAAAGACATAAGCTTTGCAAATCCAAGTTAAGAATAACATCATTGAGTGTTCCTTTTTCTACAGTGTTAGAATTACCTTTGAATGAATTATTTGGCCTTGGAGAAATGCACGTGCATGAATACTTAAGCACTATGAAGCAACTTTTGTTAGCTGATTTTTTTTTCACACTGTAATTTTTGTTTTCATTAGGATATGAAGGTGAGAATCTGATGAAAATCCTTAAAGGTATTGAAAGCAGCACAGAAATCATGTTGGACAGATGGAAGTTTGAAGTTGTCCCAAATGACAAGGATGAGAAAGGAGACCCAGTGCCTTACAGCATCATCAATAATTACTTTTCCATTGGCGTGGTAAGGTTTTCCACTCCTTTTTTTTTAAAAAAAATCTGTCCTGGATAATGACCCTGAGAAATCTCTCATACTATGAAAACTTACTGATTATAAGTACTTTATTTTATTTGTGTATCAACAAAATCTTTTCTAATGGATAATAAAAAAGCTTATGAATTTATTTAAAGACACTATCAGCAATTGATAAATTTGTCATGCATTAGACATAGGAAAGAAACTATATTGTTAATGTCTTTGACTATTTCTGGAAATGAAATTAAGTTTAGAACAGTTTATAAGGTATTTACAATTTTTTTTAGTATAAAGTAAAGCACTATTTTAGGAAAAACATGAAAATATAGTATCAAATTTTATCTTACCTTTAGATTTATGTTATCTACGATAAACCTGTCGCTATATACAAATTCTTAGTTTTTAGCCATATAATAAAATGTTGTTTATCAGTGTAAAGCCATTCAAACTTTAATCCTTAAGTAATTAATAATTCTAATATTTATTTTATTTATTTGTACTTAATAATTATGAGTCAATATATTATCTATAGCACTATATGTTATATATAACACTGTATTCCAGTTAATGAGTTTCACTTCTTATATATCTATCTCATTTCTTTCTTACATGTATATAAACACATGCATACACAGATAGACATTAGTTGACCATAATAAACATTCATTGTCTCTGTGAATTTAACAGTCAGTCTACAATGACAAGAGTCCTTCAGCAAATTAATTAATGTGAATGTCTATGCTTACATGTAATATCTGGTTTATTATTTCTTCTTTCAGATACACTAATGGTATGACTATACACTATTGTAGGCCTCAAGAATTGGCAAATCTTAATGGTTACATACACCATGCTCTTAAGACCATAATGGTTGTCATAGTTTGCTAAAAACTGGAAAAATAGAATTTGTAATTATCTTAAGAGGCTCTACTGTGTATGCTACTATAAAAATGTATTTTAAAAGCTTTAATAGCCTATAATTTACACACAGTCCTATGCAATTATTTTATGTGTACTTTTTAGTTATTTTGATAAGTTTTTCCAGTTGGAGCATTTTATCACCCAACCAATAATCTTAATACCCAATTGTAGTCCCTTCTAACTCTTTCCCTCTGCTCTAAGCAACAACACATCTGCTTTTTGTCTGGTATTTGTGTTTTATAGGTGTTTCATATAAAAGAAATCATATACTATATGAACTTTTACATCTCCATTCTCTCAATTAGTGTAATGTTTCTGACATTCTCTGTTCTAAACCATGCTAATACTGGTTTCCATTTTATTGCTGAATACTAATAGATTATAGGTGGTTTCTTGGCTACTTTTCTCTCATTTCTGGGACAAAATGCCTAATACCTAAGGTTAAAGGGGAAAAGGTGTAGTTAGCTCACAGTTTGCAGAGGTTTCAATCCAAAATTGGCAAGGTCCAAGACAGGGTGACGTAGCAGATGAACACCACTCATGGTGGCAGGGGACAGCAAAAAGAATAAGAAAGAGAGAAAACTTCTCTTCCTCCCTTATATTGTATGCAGAATACCCTCGGGTATGTGTGGCACTCACACCATCATTCCTACATTGGACAATGAACCTATCACAAACTCTAGATTCATCCCCCACCAAGTCTTCCCCTCCATCCATTGTTGCATGAGATTTTGGGGAGACCTTTAGACACAAACCGTAACAGATATATTACTGCTTGAGTTAATTCTTTCAAAGACTGATGGATATTTGTATAATTTCTAGACACTAGGTATTTTAAATTATGTCAGTTTCTTTTATCTATCTAGTAATCTTTTTAGGTGTTGATTAATAATAGTTTTGAACGCTAAAATTTCCATTTGTTTCTTTTTTTAAAGTCTATGTATCTGATCAGTCTTTTCTCTTTGAAACGTCACCACAGGCTTTCTCTATAATTTCCACTGTGTAGTTTAGTAGTTGACATATCTATAATAGCTGTTCTGAAGTCCTTGTACATTAAAGTCCATCTTGGCCCATGAAAGAGCCTGACAGCATACAGCTCTCATCAGAGTCCTTATTTGTTTGTTTGCTCATTTGAGTTTTCCTAAATATGCAAAGTGCTGTAATAGTCCTCTGCATATTTAAATGAGACTGGAAATTTTTTTGATATTTTGTAACAACTTTGAATGCTCTTTCTGTCCCCTAAGTTTGATTGTTTAGTGCCTCACCTATGGAAATTCTCCTCTTTGGGGTGTGAATGCTGATGGTCAGTGGACTTCTTATTTAATTCTTGTTTTATTTTGATACTGGTTTCCAAGTTATCCCTCTGTGTTAATCTGATTTTTTGGAGACCATGCTCCATTGGAGGTAGCAAGTCTTTGTTATTGCATGGGTCTGTGTGTTCTGTGGAATCAAATTTCAGACAAATATTGGACAATTTCAGTTTTTAATAACTCTGACTCCTCGGTTTCTTCTGCTCATGCCCAAAGCTACTCCTATAAGCAGTGATGTGAAGATCACTAGACTCTCTTTTCTCTCTCTTGAGCAGGTATAGAGCCCTCCCATCAGCCAAAGATGTATAACAACTCAGGTTGACCCATCATGTCTGTCATGCCCAAGATTTCCTGTGAAGCTTTTGCAAGTCCATTGCTTAATTCCCTGTCCATGTCAGGTTATCAAGTTGAGCGTGTCACTCACTTCCAAACATTTGCCATGGAGATCTCTAGTCTTAGACGTTTCAGGGCATGCAGATTATCTGACTTCCATCATGAGTCATTCCTTGAGAGTATTTGTCCTATCATAAGGAACCTCAACACCCATGAACCTGGACAGGAATAAAACAGACCAAAGCTGAAACACTAAAAATATCCAGTACATGCCCTTGGATGAAGTGAGGCAGTGTTTTCTGAGTGAATATCTCACCATTTGTTGTGTGCTTTAAGTCAGTTGCCTCTGGCTCTCAAGAACATGTGATTGCCTCTCTTTCCAGAGGACGTTTGGCAATGTCAGGCCTCATATCTGACTGTTATGACTAAAAGAAGATTAATACTGCAGCACAGGGTAGAAGTTAGACATGCAGCTAAATCCTCAGTGCATAGTATGACTTCACAAACACACAGCAAAGATCACGCAGGTCAAAATATCAATGTGTTGACATTGAGAATTACCAACACTATCGAACGTTTATATTTAAATACAAAAACTGAAAAGGCTGTAAATGGAAAACAACAGAAATATAAGTAAATGACAACAGTTCAAATAGAAAAGAAAAAAGAAGACAGATTATAACAAAAAATAAGTAATACCAAAATGTTTAAAAATGAGTTATCAAAAAAGCTTATTAGACCTACAGAAAGATTACTTCCATCAATAAGTGAAGTGACTTACAATAAAACAACACAGAATGCAAGAGAAAAAGTAAACACAGAAAAAAATTAAAATTATGATATATATGTCTCCTAACTGAAAAGATTGTATGACTCCCTATTGAACATATGTGTTGACCAATGTAGTAGTAAATCAAAGTTGCCAAATGTAAAATCAAACATAAATATTAATTGACATTCCACTAAATTAATGTTACCCAATAAATTTAGAAAGACAATCACAAGCAAAATTAGAAAACATGCAAGAAATTAATATTTTCATATAAAAATATTATCTAGAAAATATTCAACCTTCAAATACACAAATAATCAAAACAAATAGATACATTTCCTATCCTTTGTATGAGATTGCTTGACATAACATACAAATGAATTTATACATTTGCTCTATAATCAAAATTACAACTGGGTTTGTGTCAAATTTGTTTCTTTGTCATGGATATGTAAATTAGATATAATTCAAGAAATGTCATGTCAATTTTAAAGATAGACACATACTGCACTTTTGTGTAAGGCTTACTCAAAATCCCACAGGAAATGACAGATTACCTAGTGCTGATGTTGAAAAACTAGCCTCTTAACAGAAAAAGAGAATTTTCTACTTTACATTATATAAGTAAATGATGGAAATGCTGAACAATTCTATTTGAGGGATCAATAAAAAACCTAATAAAGGAATGTATAATAGAATATACTCATGGTTTTAAGGTAAAGCATGACTAATTAGATAAGCAACAGGGTTTTGTTGAGGCTTTCTAAAGCATATACCACTGCCGCAGAAAGAAAAATCACAGCACTCAAGTCACCATCACACCAGTGAATCCCATGGAGCGTTCATGCCTCAAGTGTCATCCAATAAGTTTGCCTTATGTTCAACAGCTGACATTCCACTTCCTAAATCAGGAAATCTACATGAAAATATATTAATTTCATAATTTTTGCAAGCTTTTTCTGAAAATATCAAAGCTAGTACATTGCAAGTATCGTCCCTAGGAACACAGGCATGAACATGAAAAGTAATGAAATTGAAGTGTGAGGTGGATGTCTCAACATTTTGTCACCATGGGCACAAGAAGGAATGAAGTGAGTGTGCAGTTGCCTCTAGGAACCCCCTTGCCAACTAGCTACAGTCTTATCCCAAAGTTGGGCTGCAATATCAATAGTTTTATTTCCAAGTACTCACCTTCACATACTGACTAAAAGTGTTTTGCAATCAACAAAACACTTTGCCTCAAAGTTTTAAGGATATCATCTTCATATCCTACGGTGTAGCTGTTAACTGCTGGCAAAAGCAACCCTAAAATAACAGTGGCCTATTACTGAGTTAAAATCAGTTCTTCATGTCACATGTCAGAAATGTTAACCTTTAGGGAGAAGTTCCACATCAATGCAGCAGTCAGTGACATGGGGCCATACACCCCTACCTTCCTATAGATACCCAGAGCCTTCTTTACCCAATAAATCCACAAGAGAAAGTGGACTATTGCAGCGATTCATTCTGCTTTCCTTTTTAAAGGAACCAGACCCAGAAGACAAATTACCATTGTTTCCACTACTAATGTGTTACTCAGCTCTCCCTCACTTGACTAACTCTGATGCTAAAGAGCTGTTCTTTTGCTCCTAATTACAAGGAAGGCATTTTCT